TACACTCTCAGAGGCGAGAGGGTTGAGAGGAATCCCTCTTGGCTGTTGAGAGCATCTTCCCAGTGCCAACTTTCAAGCCCCTGGGGTTTGTGGTGGATTGAATCCCAAAAACCCCTGGGGTTTATTTTTTCATTTTATTTATTATTTTTTTATAAGGGGAACGACTCCCAAACCCTCTGAAAGTTTTCGAGGTCTAGCTCCCATGGACGTCCGGAGGAGCGTCCACAGATGGTCCTCTTGACGTTCCAGAAATTTGGGAGTCGGGACTCCAATTTCTGGGAGTCGTTTAACTAAGACCTGTAGAGACAGACAAAATGAAGATGTGTCTGGTGAGAGTCAAACTCACAACCTGAGCTAAGCTGAGACACATACTAGAGTGCTGCCTTTACCAACTAGGCTACAGGCGCTTGTGACTGCCAGGTTGGTTGGGTGGTAGTGTTCATGGTTCAACATGTAGTGACACATCATGGTAGCAGACTATCAGACACCTCAACAAGAAGTGTTACACCCTCACCAGCCATCACCCCATCACACCTCATTCCTCTTCCTCCTCACACCTCAGTAGGTACTACATACACAAGCTCATCAGTAATAGAAGTCTAAAATAAAGTAGAAATCAGACACACCTATCAACACTGGGCTGCTATGCTACGCTACTCTTTTTGCCCAAAAAGCGTTAGCGTAGCTGTCTTTTTTGCACACTGAAATTGCTTGGTGTTAGGCCACTAACGGCCGCCAACCAGCACGTTAGCGCAGCGTAGCAGGAACTTTTTAAGGCCCTGCACGTGTAGCATTAGCGTGGATGTGGCGGAATTGTGCTACGCTATGCTAAAGTTGAGCACAATTCTGCTACGTTACGCTGCGCTAACCACTACGGTTAGCGAAGCTGGCCCAGTGTTGATTGAATGCACCCACCCTAGGGGAGATGAACCCGCAAACTGTTTGTGGCAAGCTGACTAGGTGCCCAACAGAGCCCAAATCAGAGACTGAGAAGCCAAAGGCTGCAAATCACGGTAGGGCCTAAATTGACAGCAGCGGGGCTGATATTGCAAGCTGTGCCTTTGGTCCCTGCTCCACCACCCATTTACAGTCCTGGACGTTGTAGCCAAAGGGTGGTAAGGCATAAAATGTAGAGATGGTCAATTGAAATCCGGATATCCGCACGGATGCAGATATCCGCTGACAATTTCAGCGGAAACAGGCATCCGCATCCGCTAGCGGGTATCCGCGCGGATATCTGCGGATACCCGCCCTTTACTGGTGGGCAAACGCGGGCGAGGGGGATTTTTTTGCAAAAAATGTAAAGAAAAAAAACCCTGCCCCCCTCAGCCTAGAGGGGCAAGGCCACACTGTCGGGAGAAACCCTCCCGACGAGCTGGCTATCCGCGCGGATATCTGCAGATACCCGTCCTTTACTGGTGGGCAAACGCGGGCGAGGGGGATTTTTTTGCAAAAAATGTAAAGAAAAAAAACCCTGCCCCCCTCAGCCTAGAGGGGCAAGGCCACACCGTCGGGAGGAACCCCTCCCAACGAGCATCTACATGCCAGCTCTTCGGGAGGGGTTCCTCCCGGCGAGCTGGATTTTAGACCAGCTTGTCGGGAGGAGTCCCTCCCAATGAGCTGCTATGTACATCAGCGCGTCGGGAGGGGTTCCTCCCGACGAGCTGGTATGTCTACCAGCTTGTCGGGAGGGGTTCCTCCCGGCGAGCTAGATTTTAAACCAGCTCGTTGGGAGGAGTCCCTCCCAACAAGCTGGATTTTAGACCAGCTCGTCGGGGGGAGCCCCTCCCGACAAGCTGCTATGTACATCAGCTCGTCGGGAGGGATTCCTCCCGACAAGCTGGTCTGTCTTCCAGCTTGTCGGGAGGGGTTCCTCCCCACGAGCTGGTCTGTGTACCAGCTCGCCGGGTGGAATCCCTCCCCGGCGAGCTGGATTGTGTACCAGCTTGCCGGAAGGAATTCCTCCCAGCGACATGGAAGGGGGCCAGTTGGTTTTCTCCTTTTTTGAAAAAAAAAAACATTTCTTTACCTCTTGGCACCGGGTATCCCTTGGGATACCTGGATATCCGCCATGATTTGGGGCGGAAAAGGACATCCGCACCCGCTGGCGGGTATCCGCTGGCACCGGCGGGTATCCGCCAGCGGATAACAGATATCCGCAACAGATATCCATCGACCATCTCTAATAAAATGGTTCTGATGTCTTGTAAAATTCTCCCCTGAGCATTTGTATTTTGGATTTTACACACCTCATGTTTTGTGCACTACTACTTTGAAAATGTAGAAGCCTTGTTAAATCCACAAATCAAGCAGAAATAATAATTTTTCCTAGCCTTCCTTCTTACGCGGCATTTGCTTTGGTAAATATGGGTTGCAAAAACCCATTTTTCATGGTCTTGAGGTGGTTTTACCAGCTACATTTTCCAAGGCTTGGAATAAAAAGGGCAGGGGAGTGAAATATACATTGGAAAATTGGACTCCAGCCGGTGGAGTCATAATTTTCCTAAGCATGATGCTTCCAAGGCTTAAGCCTTGCAATTTATACTTTGCAAAATTATACACCCCCATAATAAAACTTAAAAGGGGTGTTGAGCTTACCTCCCGTTTAACATTAAACTTGCTAACACAGGATAGTGGGTAATTTGAAATCTGAGCAAACCTGTCAGACATGTAATTAGATGTAGTCAAAAGCAGTAGTAAAGTAGGGGGGGTTTGAGCTCAATTGAACTTATGTGGACAACAGTGGGGGACCTTAAGTAAGCAATAAAGATAAAAGAACTAATAAAAGGGAAATTCAAAGCAGGGAGACACTAGAATTAGTCATAAATTGATTTGCCCAATTATGTCAGCTAAGAAAAGGTAACACTAGGGAATGTCACATCTATTGGCCAGCTCTTGGTTCTCTTTACTTAGTAATCTACTCATAAACGGTAGCAGTCAAATGGTTGTGTGTCATATTGATCTATAATGCCTTGCAAATTGTTGAATTTTCACTGAAATGTCACACTCAGATCACTCGTGCTGCAGCACTTGATCCGCAGCAAATGATGATAATTGAAGTTTCAATCAATTAGGTTTGGGGGGGCTTGATAACGACACACCCTCCCCCCTCGCACACGCATGCCCACACACCAATCTTTTTGGCGTGTGGGTGCACACGCCTTGCGGATCCTGGCGTGTCCCTGCACACGCCAGCGCTCCACAGGGTCCAAACCCTGTTGGCTGGCGTGTGCAGGAGCACGCCAGCAGACCTCGCTCCAGCTCATCGGGAGGGTTTCCTCCTGATGAGCTGGTTGTAAGCCCAGTTCATTGGGAGGGTTTCCTCCCGATGAGCTGGACAGTAAACCCTCCCGATGAGCTGGACTGTGTACCAGCTCATCGGGAGGAAAACCTCTTGATGAACTGGGCTTAAATCCAGCTCATTGAGAGGTTTTCCTCCCGATGAGCTGCTATGACTTGATAGTCTTTGGGCTGGGAGGAACCCCCTCCCAGCCTTGTTTTTTTCCTTTTTTCTGGATTCTACGCTGCCGTCCCATAGGACCCATGCCTGGGTCCTATGGGACGGCGGCCTTCCTAAATGCATATGTATATGGCGCGCAGGCCTGCACGCCATCCTACTCTGTAGATGGGACGTGCTGAGCCGCACGCCAGTGTGCTATTGCCGTGCCAAAGGTGTATTGTTTCTGTATTTATCAATGCTAAGGTGTGGTGTTATCATGAGCTTAGAATGCAACCGTATGTGCTCTCTGTAACCTTAGACTTGAAGAATATGTGGACCTCTCAAGTTGCTCAAAATTCAAGATCCTTATCGGCTTTTCGACTAGTCTTGCTTCAATCAAGACCTTACCATGTAAAGTTCTAATAGCTTGCTGCTCTCTTTCTCAACCATGCTCACTCAGTCTCTTCCCTTGCTTGCATCAAGATTGATCCTCAAAACATTCAGGAATCTCTATATAGGCACTATCAACGGTGGACCAGTTACACTAACCGTAGTGTTAGTGTAGCGGAATTCTGCTAAACTTTAGCGTAGAGTAGCGGAATTCCGTCACATCTTGCACTAAAACTACGCGCATAGGCCCCAAAAAAGGGCCCACTACGCTAGGCTAACACGCTGGTTAGCAGTTTTTTGGCCCTGTAACGCAGTGTAGCGTAGAAAAAATCCGCTAAAAATATGCTAACACTACATATTTTTGGCGTAAAAAAAGCGCCGCTATGCTACACTTTTTGGGCCAAAAGCGTAGCAGCCAACCGCTGGCACTATCAAGAAAACTTCATGTCTGCTCCAATGTGCTCTTTGTTATCCTTTCTTTCCTTCATTGTTTCTCTATTCTCATTGCTGTTGTTTGTTGATGAAATTTCTCTCCTTTCTCTGTTTCTATGTTATTGTTTCTCTTTCTCATTCTTATTCTGATTATATCAAATACCCCGCTTCCTTGCTTCTGCTCAAAGTCCTCATTTTTTATCTACAGTACTATTTCCATCTCTTCAGTGGTATGCTTTCTCTTATTTCTTTCTTTGGTTCTTCTTCTCTTTCAGCTCTTGTTCTCTAATCTCTTTTTTTGTTCTTTTTTTTCTAGTCTGGTTCTGGTTTTTAGTCATCAATTAAACATTTCTTCACAAATTTAATGGATTGTGTACAAACAGGGAGATAGAATTTGATGGACCAAAACTTTGAAGCATTGAAACCACATTGATGAGGAATCAATGTATACAGGAGTCAGTGTTGGAATTCTGAGCTTAGAGAGGAAGAGAAGATTTTTAAACGGACTCAGGTGTCACCTTTTGAGGGGGCCAAAAAGGTGATCAAACTCAGAACAGGAGGAGAACTGATGATGATCATTACTTGTTGTTTAGCTGATTTAAGTAGACTAATTACAATACAAGTGTGATCAATTTGTGGTTGAGAATAATTTTGAATAAGAATAATGAATAGAAGAAAATGGAACACTCAGAGGTACATGAAAAATCATTGGGCCACAATCATCATAACCAAGAAGATAAGAGACTTTATGTGAGAGATGATAAGCCCTCCTTAGACAGGGTTCTTGACTACAAGCTAGGGGGTCAGACAGCATAACACAACAAGATATCAGATTATATTGGAGAGATAAATGGTTGATGAAGAGACTGATCAGCTGGGTGTAAAGGAAGTATAGTGATAGAGGAATGAGTAAAAGTTGAGATTTTCAACAGTCAGCACAAGAGTAGTTTGCAACAAATTAAATAAATAGAAATCAGAGGGTGGAAAGGTAGAATAAGAACATCCAATAGTCTCTTCAACACTGAGTAGGTGCAATCCAAGGAAAGGAGCGAGACTGTAGATTGTACTGGTGGGGGTTGAAAATTGTGAAGTTGTATGCTCTCAGCCTGTAGAACAATTATAAGGTGGGCTTTAGAAGTAAGGCAGAGATCCATACTTACAGAGATGTGAAGGGATTGTCCAAGCTTGAAGGCAATGACACCTGAAAAGAGGATGATGTTGGACGGAATGAGTCCCAATAATTGGTTCTGATTGAGTTGAGGTCCTTTGTGCCAGACAAAAATTGGGTCAATGGCCTGATAGGGTTAGATGGTGGTTAGTCTTGTTCAGCTGGTGGCAGTTGGTAAAGAGGAAAGACGTACTGGGCCAGTGCAAATGTAGAAATTGAATCCAATTTTTTTTTACTCAATTGAGAAATACACATTGTGCCTGTCATGATTGGGGCAGAGTTGACCTGTAGACTGGGTCAGGGGGGATTTCCCATGAGTCTGAATAAACACTTAATTGAATATGGTCTGAAGAAAAGCGGATTGTGTTCAGGTTGGCAGCACCAAGAAAAGTCAAGCAAACAGTGGATCTTGGCCCTTGGCAAGGACAATTTTGTAGAGAGGAGGAAAATAAATGGGAGCCTCCCTTGACGAGGTGCCCGTGGCACGCTATTATTCGGCACCATCGCCTTGAGACTACAATGCATCTCCAACATTTTTGCCAAATGTTTGAAATATCAATCCGGCTTGGCCATAGTATTAGAAATAGTCGGTGGGGCCTAATCGAATCTTAATCCGTTTTTCTCGAATCATGTCCTCTTAATCCGGGTTTTCTCGAAATCTTCATCATGGTGTCCTACATTGTTTCTTAATCCGGTTTTACCAATGATTTGTGGTTCAGGGTAAACAGAGTATTCATGTAATTCGGCATCATCTCTTTTGTTGCTTCCCCATGCCGCACGCCCAGTTTTTAATCTGCTGATGTTCTTTGTCCCAGGCCTTTTGTTTTGCTTCTTGCACATGGGTCCCCCCCCCCCCCCACCCCCACAAACAGACTTTCGTCTCCTATCATCATTCCTCAAAGACACATACTCTTACGAGTGTTTGCCAACACATCAGGCAGAATCGCCGGATCCTACTTCACTCGTTTACCACACTAAAAACCAACCAAAAGTCACAACACAACCAATCCACAACATACTTACTCTCTTTTAGAAATTAAAGCATTTTTTTGGTCTTAGTGGATTAAAATGAATATGATTTTGACAGTACTAACTATTCCAATCCTGCTGACCTTTGTTGTATCGAATCCACACCCCTCATTCCCTTCGGCCAGTGCAAGAGTGCATCATCGAAACGAGCGGCCTTCATACGACCAGGAATCGGAAGAATCGAGATGTCCTAGCCCTTTGCATTCTTGCCCTATCCTGATCGCTCACCACCTGGAAGTTGAACCTAACGACTCCATGCTCCCTACTCCCGTTAGAAAACCCGAAACGACGTCATGGGAATGTGTGGATTTGCAAGAAGAGCTCACTGCCTGCGGAACTTGTGATAATGACGTGAGTCTTCAGAGCTGAACACTGACGATCACCACAACTAAAGCTGACTATTTCTATTTTTTTCATCCCCGACAAAGTGCACGCGCATACCTCATGTGAAGGGCGTGGGTTGCGAGAACGGAACATGTCGGATCCGTAAGAAATTGCTTGCATCGTCCTTCCTATCATCGCGTTGATTCTTCGCGTGGAGCTGAATTACTAATTTCCGCTTCTCTCTCCATGTTGAACTGATCAATAAGTCTCTTGTAAATCAGGATTTTCGCCTCACTTTCACAAAGATAAAGGCGGTAGAATGAGGATAACAGGTTGCGTCGCCAAAAAGTCTCATCACAAGTTTGATTTCTTTGGGTCCTTGAACCAGAGACCGGGGGCAAGAAAGAAACGGTGAAAGAACAACTCAACCCTGTTTCTTCAACCTGTTTAATCTATCCCCCCCTCGAGCGAAACCTAATTGAATCGATTGGCATTTTTAGTTGACCCTCGGCTCAATTTTTCTTCTTCTTTGTCTTGTTGTTGTATATATGTGTATAAGGCATAGTTATCATTTCCGCTTTTATCTTTTTCTTCTTTTTTTTTCTCAGCAAATTAAACTTATAAAACTACATAACATTATCTACAAGGAACTGAAAATACTTACTTGGAATTTTGGCCTGGCCCATCACAGCTGCTAAACGGTGCAAGCTGTTGCAAGCTTCCTGTGAGGCATCCACAGGCTTTGAGGGTCTGCGGTCTGAGCAGTTAACCCTTCCAAAGGGTATAATAAATTTAATTGAGTTTTGAAGAATATTATTGAATAATAGCACAATGAAGATTTAGAGAGTGCACTGGAATATGATAAATATGAATAAATGATAAAGCATTGATGTAAAAGTATGCACCACAACCTTTATTCCTTCTATACTACTTGACCTGTCACTTTTATGTAGTCTGCTATATATTCTTTATTTCAACATACCCTGTTTCAAGCAATACTCAAGATTAGAATTACCCCTATTGTTAGCAGCAAGCCACCTGGAAGTTACTGTAAGCAAAAATGGGAAGTTACTTTGGTGATAACACTTATGTAACAATCAAGTAAAAGTAGTGAAACCATTATCACCATGATAGCTGCAACGTCCACATTGCTACTTTATCTTTTCCTTCTTGTTTTTTTTTGGCCACTTCTGTTACATTATCCACCTCAAAAATGGGTGGATATCAGACAGATGGGGAGGGGGTCTGCCTCAGATAACACAGAAAACATGTTATCTGTGCTAATTGTCTTTGTAACAAAGGATCAAGTTCTTGTTACATTACTTGAGCCCCAAAAATGCAGGTTTTCTGGATAACAATAACTTATTATCCAGTAATTCTGGGAATTTATGTTACAAAAATCTGTTTGAATATTTCAACATATGTAACTTCCCATTATTATTTCAAGCCTGATTGATATTTGTAAGACTCTAAAAGACAGAACATTATTGAAAATCTAACATTCAGTAAGTAACATAAGATTTTCATTGAAATTGAAAATGGTAGGATGTTGTAGGTGGACTCTCAAAGTTTATTCAAACATCTCAATGTTGATACTCGATGTCATGGGTACCTAAGGCATAAGAGCTACACAAATTTGACTTAGTTTCACAATTAAAAATTGAAGTTGCTAGAATTTGCTTAGAAAATCAAACAAAAAGGAGGTACTTACAAGGCTGTTGGATTTGTGCAGGAATATCAAGACCCCAGAAAGGGGGGGGTTGTTCAAAAAAGTGTGGCAAATGGGAAAAAGTCCCAAAAACCTAAGTACTATTTAAGAAGCTTCAAAAAGGTATGAATTAGTGGAGGACTTCCCGTCGTATCTAGGACCCCCAAAGATGTTGATTTAGACCCAAAAAGTCTAGAACTTCGCTGGGGAATCTAGATTTCAAGGCCTCTAAATTGCTTCTGGGAGACCCAAAAATTTGACGGGAAGTTGTCCAGTATTATTTATACCTATGTACTAATTTTTCCTCAGTGAGCACATGTCTGGTGTATCTGCCCAGATCAATGCAACCAGCTACTGTGTGCACATTGACCAGTTTGCTGGCAAGGCAAGTGCCGTCAGCTAGGTCAGAACCTTAAGGTGTTTCTGTGTTGATCATCATTTGTGATGTTTTGATAAGCTTTTTTTCTTTTTTGTTTTACTCACTGGCAAGTGGGTCATCTTCTGTTCTCCTATCTTGATGCAAACACTTCATGCGTCAATCTCAAGCAGATTCCATCTTATGATGCAGAAACCTATCACACAATGGGATCTTGAAGTACTCTTTTCCCTTTGTCTTACTTCAATAAATTCAAATTAAATTTTCATCTGAGCCTGACTAGGTAAGCAGAAAACCCTTTTGCCAGTCTCACTACAATTTACTTAACCCATCCTGATAGTTTATCCAATCAAACAAACCAAATTTTACCTAGCCTATAGTAAGGTGTGTTGGGAGTGATGCATTGGAGTCTTGAGGTGTGGGTCCGGATTCCAGAGGCTTTTGTGCACTTGGACTTGGGTGACCTCTGCTGCGCTCTGATCACTCCACATGGTTTGGTTGAATACAACTCTTCAGAATCATGTTTAGTGAATTAGATTCATGCACTGTGAAAAGATCTTGACGTGCTGCATGCCAACTGCCGCAAGTTCAGCAAGATTTTTTTTCACGGTGATGTGGATTGGATCTTTCCACATTTGTGGTAACCAACTAGAACCAACCCTTACTTTTGAAATCTTCATATCTGCCATCATTTTATTCTTCCTGCAAAAAAAAAAAAAACAAATCCAATAATCTATACAACCAACTGATCTTGCTGTGCAGACAAAAAACAATACCTGCCATCTCTACCCCATACCCTAGGGTATTTCAAGGCAACATGGCTTCAGCTTCAGGATTGTCAATTGAGGCTCAAGTTCAGGGCTTTACTGATAACACTTGCCATGCACATCTCACCTCTATGACTTTGATGAGAATTTCCAGAGCTGATCCAGGGGGCTTTACAAAGTGTATCAAATCATGTAATCCATGCATAAGTGTGTTTTGGACATCACAACAAAGGATTGCTATCACTTGAGGTGGAAGAATAGTGCTTATTCAGCAATCGAAATGAACAAGAAAAACCAACTTTTGGTTCAGGGAAAAGGATGCAGGAGGATGACAAGAGAGAGAGAGAGAGAAAAGTTGGTGAATACAAATCAGAATTGTGAAAGCCCAGGGAGCATTGTCACAATTGTGAAATGATCAAAGAGACTGATACAGGATTTGCTTGGGCACCCTCAGGATCTGCACCATTAGACGGGGTGTGAGCCTTTGTGTTGATTGCAGGCTGTCCAACTGGCATTGGTTTAATATTTTGGTTTGTCCTGCAGGGAAAGGTGATTAGTCTGTTATTTTGACTGGGCCAATCTTTTGTAACAGTCTGTTCAATGGGAGATAATACTTACAGGCACAGACGTGTGTGGGCAGCTTGTTGACCTACGCAGTTTGGAAGATTTGTTTGGGACTTGTTTCCTGGATTGAGCTGCAGAACCAAATTTCATGAGCATGTTGATTATAAAGCTATGAGGGTGTTCTTACCAGCCTGTTCAATAAAAAGTGGCACTTACTCTTCTGCTTGGGTGCCATATCACTTTGCAGTTGTTGGTCAGATTGCATGGCTTGGCCTTGATTTTGTACTGGTTGGTGTTCCTTGCTTGTCCCTGTAAGCAAGGGAATGAGTACCTTATCTGGACTGGACTGGGCTATTATTTGTGCAGGCCTGTTCAGTGAGAGATAAAACTTACGGATCCGCTTTGGTGATTTCTGTTTCTTGGTCATCAGATTGATTGGTGGGCATGTTGTTGATCAAGAAGGGAATAAGTATTAATGAGTATTACATTCATACATTCCACTCAGTTCAAAGAGAGGTAAAACTTACAGGTGTGTTTGTGTGATCTGACGACCTGGTTCGTTTGTTTGATTTCTGAGCAGGTTTTTGTGAAGGAACCAGAGGAAGGGTCTTGTGGTAATGACGGGTCATATTTCCAATCCAATCACGAGTATGGACACTCCTAAGATCATGCAACTTTGACAAGTCCTCAGGCACTGCAGTAATCAATTTCCGGAAGGCGATGCGCATTTTGTCACTGAGACAAGCGATCTCGTCCAGACCAAGAAACTGAAAATGAACTCGTCCAGTGTCATCCTTGTCGTCAGGCTCCTTCCATGGTCCAGGGCTTTCTTGAGATTTGGCCTTCAGGCTGAATAACAGAATAAGGTAGGGATTGTCGACGTCTTCAATTCCGGCAAAGCTTTTGCACCAATTGCAACTCTCTTTCCACTTGACACTACCCTCTTGATTTTTGGTTTGAACGCCACAAAAGGTTATGTTTTTATGATCTAGCTCGTGATCTGGATCAGATTCCGGGGCGAGATAGATAGTAAAGAGGTCCTCAAGTCCATGTTGTCCAGGCTTACACTGGACCGCTAAGCCTTCATGCAAAAACTCCATCAATTCTTTTGCACTGGGCGTGTATCCAATCCGGGTAAAGTGGTTGAAAAAGATCCGCCCCTCATCCAAAAGTCTCTTACGACCCTCAGGACTTTTGGTGCCCAGCCGAATCTCCTTGGGGTTTTTTCCGGTTAGCGTGTTGAGGAAATCTCTCAATCGGACTGAATGTCCTTGTTTGATGGTGAATTCGTTCCCGGAATCCAGAATTATCGTTTGCTGCATAGCGTATATCAAGATTAATCTGGTGGCCATTTCCCCGGCATCTCCGTTGGCAAGGAGACCATTTTGGACTGCAAGAGCAAGAACATTGATACATCGATCCCAGTTGCAATGAGAGCGGGCAAGAAAAGCGCTGGCCGCTGATGCATAAGGGAACTGAGAAGGATAATCGCTGATAATAAACTCTCTAGTTGGGTCGATGAACATGCAGTGGGCTGCGTGACTTGAAACAAGGTCTGTGTGTATGGATGATTTGTTGTACAGTCGGGTGTGTATCACTGAGCCCAGTAGGGCAAAGATTTGTGACTGGGTCAACATCTTCGAAGTCGGGAACTTTGATCGGCACAGGAGTTTTAGGCCAGCAATGCACAACGTGTTTTCCAACTGGTTAGCACCCCCCTTCTTGGTTGCGTGTTCATAATACAATCCGTAAAATGGGCCGCCATAAGTCAGGAGTCGACCTGGCGATAGCAATTCACGCCAAGTTTTCGGTAGTGCCGGGACAAACAAGTCAAGCGATGGAATTTGATAGATTGGCTCAAATAATTCTGCACCATGGCCATCGGGCCTTGCACTTGGGTCATCGTCTAGTGCCGGACTAAAGTTGGCCAGCCGCGAAGTTGTATCGGTGAAGACGCTGAAGAATCCTCCTGAGATTGGTAGCTCGGCTAAAACCCGACGAAACAGGCGAAAGTACGACACTTCCTCGTCGTCTGTCTGCTCAACCAAGTTTCTGGCCTCGTCTATGGCCAATAGCACTTTGAGCTGTGCTACTCCTTCTTGGTTTGTGCTGGGGACGCTCTGATTCATCTTCTTTGCGGCGGCTTGGAGGACACGTATTCGGGTGGCAGAATTATCCCAATTCGATTGTTTGGCTAGCATCTTCATTTCTTCCTGCACATCACAAGCAAATTGAACTGGGGTGTCATCGAGTTGGAGACTGTACTTGTTCCATGCGTCCAATTGGTCTTTGATGAGTTTATCTTGCCTGTCAGGTTTGGAAAAGAATGAGGCCACGACACGAAAAATTGCAGTCAAAAGGCGCGCATAGCGTTCCTGCAAGTCCACCTTTACTGCTTGATCTGGGAGCATTGAGTTGGCAAGCTCGGAACGAGGGGGTTGGCCGGTTGATTTAGGAGGCCGGAGGCAGATGTAGACTACACACACGTGTTTAGCCAACTCAATGACTAATCGAGTTTTGCCAGACATCGTCGCGCCAACAATTGAAGTGTAGGGTGCCCTATATAGATTGGTCTTCCATTCTACTACGTAATTGTGGAGGGTCGCTAGCGTTGGTATGACAATAGAATCGTACGCCCTATATGGTGCCTCGAAACCTTCCCGGACAATGTCGGCTGCCCACGCAAGCCGTTCCACAGTGTCATTTGTTGTTTTGGGAGAAGATTTTGTAGGCCCGAGCGCAAGGAGAATTTTGTCTGTCGACATTTCAGAGGAGTCTTGCCGAGTGGGAAATCGTCTGAAGTAAGCGAGCTGGAAGAATTTCCTGATTTCATCCTCGTGATCTTGATCAGTGAGTTTGAGCCATCTCTTGAGTTCTGGGAAGGAGTCTTTGCATCCCTGGTAAAATCTTGTCCAGTAAATCCGGCAAGCAGATAGGTCATCATTGAATGAGTGCATCAACGATTGCAGCTCTTCATGGTACTTTTGTAGCCTTGCCACTTCGGAAGTTGTCAGGGGTATCAAAGATTATCAGTGGGTGCCTCGGATCTTCTAACATGTCAAATAAATTCACTTACCTCCAGCAGCCTCCACAATCGCTATGAATTTGCCAGCAACTTCATCTTTCCCATAGCCATGGAGCTTCTCGAAGCGCTTGAATGCAGTAGATTGCTGTTGAGATTTTCGGGATTTTTTGTCTGACTGCTGCTGGGTATGAAATTAGTTGATTGAGCTGGAAATGTGTCATTTGAATGAGAGATGTAGGGAGGGGGGACTTACAATTCTGGTAAGCATCTCTTCTAGCAACCTTTCAGAGGGTTCTTTCTCCATGGGGAATCGAATGAAGTGAGCAAGCTCGACAAGTTGCTTGATTTGACTCTCATGATCTGCATCGGTGAGCTTGAGAATCTCCTTGAGCCTAGCGAATGAGCCTTCGTAACCTTGGAAAAATTTTGCCCATTGCGATATGACGTCTTCATGCTTTGTGTCAGGCGGCTTCAGTTCAACAATATTTTCCAGCTTCGTAAGGTAGACTCGTAGCTTTTTTACTGCAGAAGTTGTCAGGGGTGCCAAAGCATATCAGTTGGTGCTCAGGAGCCTGGGACCAATCAAATGGATTCTCTTACTTCCAACAGCCTCGAAAAGTACTGAGAACGATTCGACAAGTATAACTCCCTCGAAGCAGTGAAGCTTCCCAAAGCGTTCGCGGTCTGTGAGGTGAAGAGTTTGCTGTTGTGATTTGATTGTTCGGGATTGACAGGTAAGAATTCAAGTGATTGGAAATGTCAACAGTGGGTTGAGCTGGAAGGAGGAGACTGTGGGTGATGTAGAGGAGAGAGAGAGGGCGGGATCTTACGATTCGGGTAAGCATCTCTTCTTGCGACATTCCAGAGTTTTCTTTCTCGGAGGGGAATCGAATGAAGTAAGCGAGCTCGACAAGTTGTTCGATTTGATTCTCATGATCTGCATCGGTGAGATTGAGAATTTTCTTGAGCTTGGCAAATGAGCGTTTGTAGCCTTGGAAAAAATTTGCCCATCGCGATATGACGTCTTCTTGCTTTGTATCGGGCGGCTTCAGCTTGCTCAGAATCTCTTCCAGGTCGTCATGATAGTTTTGTAGTCTTTCCACTTTGGGAGTGGTCAGATGTGCCCAAGAATATCAGTTGGTGCTTATTAAATCATATTTAATTATCAAATCAATCCACTTACCACCAACGGCCTTCAAAACTACTTGGAAATGTTCGGCTTGTTGATTTTCTTGATAACCGTGGAGAGTCGCAAAACGTTCGTATTCGTCCATGTCGGCTTGGATAGGATGCTGTTGTGATTTGAGTGTTGACTGCTGATAGGAATCGTTGGAGAAGTATGTAGGTTAGCTGGGAGCAGGAGACAGTGGAAGGTGTAGAAGATAGAAAGGGTATCTTACTGGGTCCGGCGTGAGCTTGTCTGATTCCTTTTGTTCTCTGCTCGGAGCTTCCATCAACATGCCGTGTGAATCAATCAATGGCTGACGGTGACAATGGAACGGGCAGTACAATTTCTTTCCAACGAACCTGTGAACCAGAGGACTGCCTCAACTCGCTTGACAATCTCTTGAAGACCTGGCCAATCACCTCACTCGATCTGACTTGCTGGCTTAGCAAACCAATGAAAATCTGAAGAGGACAATGATAGAAGTCGCAATTCCGTTTTGATAGGTGGCTATGAGTCGGTGTTTCACAAAGGCTAATGAAGAACGATGGAAATAACGTCAGACGTACCTTAAATTGAATTTGGAAGGCCTGGAGCCGATCGAATACGTCTGGAGGCTGAATCGATACCACAATGACGACTGCAATCAAGTGCAGTTGAACTTCAACGACCTGAGCGCGGTTTTCTACGCGAAAAGAATTAAACACAAAGCTGTTAGAATTTGGTAAATTCTGGGAGGATCAAAAACGGCCTTCAAGACCGTTCTTTTATAATCTGGACGGTACACATCAACGACCAAGGAACGGAAGGTAAGCAAGCTCACCTGAACCTAGAATACAAAACCGCGAGAGGCTGCCCCTTGTCATGGGTCGACCGTCTGGCCAATTACCTCGTCCGATTCGGCTGCTAGAAGAAAGACGAAAAAGATCTGATGAGTCCTGACGGATAGTGAGGCAGGATTCAGAACCAATAGAACCTTGGCAAAGAAATCAATAACTTACCTAGAGTCTGTCTACCTGTCACTCCGCGGAAAATCCGATCGACGATGCTGGAAGAAGTCGAAAGTCGGAGCCAGTCGAGGATCTCGTTGGTATTGATCGGAATCAAAATCGGCACCAGCTGAACCGAATGCTTGGACCAGAAGTTAGAACGGAGGCTCGGAGCACAAGTGGATTGTAGGCGCTGATCTCGACTGCGGGACAGTTGTTTCAGATGGTCCACACTTCTGCAAGTAATCATACCGAAATATTGGATCCTGAGCTCCAATACCCATAGCAAGTAGGGGGTACAGCCTGCACCTCTGCACAAAGAGCTAGTATGGCCTTGTACCCACGTCTGGCTGGAGAGAATGATTCCTAAAATGAGCCAACTTCCAAATCTACATATGTGAAAGCTTGGCACTATTTTTATTTATTTATTTATTTATTTATTTATCAGTCATACAATTTCCTCCCCTCTTTAATTAATCAGATCATCAGGCTGGACCTCCAATGTGACTGGGCTGGGGAGGAAGCTTTTGTGGACAACACCAGTATTGTCCACTATAAGAAGGTTCTTGGGAAGTACCCATTGCTTTCAAGAAAAGAACTGAATCAGGACCCTGGATTTAAGGCGTCCTATAAACATGTGAAACTAGCAAAAATCCCAAAATGCAGGACTACTTAATTCCTGCTGTAGCAACTACATAGTTCACGATGAGAGATCACACTGGCTGCACCACAGATGTGGTGCCATTGCGCTTATCGGTTAATTTCTCTCTGACTTACATACTGTCGGAGTTGGCTTTCTGTGGGCTAGCTCCCTCGTGTGGTCCATTCAGCAGAGAGGCTTCATTAAGCGAGGGCTATGTCATGATTAGCTGCTGCAGGGGGGTTCTCCATCTTTATATTGCAAGTTGTCCTGACTGTTGGACTTGATGATCTTGTGGCCTCGATGCGCGGTAATTAGCAGTTCCCTCCGTTATGTAACTCTCCATGAAGATCGGTCTTGATAGATAATAAGTTCTCTCGCAGAAAGCAAGTGACTTTCATCCCACATCCTCAGCAACTACATAACTCAGCCCTCCTCGTCATCAGCTCGGTTGGTTCGTTTTGATCGCTTTCGACTCTCCTCTTACACTAAACTCGCTCATCTCCCCACACAAGCACCAAGCGAAACCCAAGCTGACCATGAGCAGTAAGACTACGGAGAGCCAGCTATCCGGATCCAATACCGACGATCCCACGGTCTCCGGCTTATCGGCATCTCAATCCGCCGCGCCGGCCAAGGCTATTGTAATCCGCAGCAAACCTCATCCGGCATCCGGCGCACAGCCGGCGAGGAAGCAGCAGCAGCCTACAACCCACTCACTAGGCAAACTGACCTCGAAAGAGCAAGCACCCACAGATGAGATCATTGTTATCGACGAGATGACTGATGTTCCTTCTAGAGACCGGTGCTCGAATCTAAACCTCAAATCTACCGTCGGCGGAGGGATTTTGATCGAATTAACTGATACATCTGGTAAGCTGTACATACGAATCCTTTCATATGCATAGCAATTGCATAATAAGATCATCGAGAGACTCATCTTTGATGTTACATATTTCGTTAATTCAGATTCCGAGCAGTCGACCTGTGCAGATACTACCACGGTTACTGAAGAAGACGCGAATATGGCGATCTCCGGACGTGACGAGTCGACGACCCATAATGGGCTTGGTAACGACGACAGAGAACGTTTGTGGAAGTGCGCGATGGACGCAGACTTGAGAGGGGACCTTGCCGCCTCTGAAATGTTTTGTCGACTGCTCAAAGTCGAAACCAAGCCCGTCAATATAATATCTACCAAGCCTAAACCCGCTCCACCACCTCCAAAACATCGAGCCACGCCAGTCGCTATTAAACGTATTCCTCCAAAAAAAAACTCGGAAAGCAAAACTCCCGTTCCGCTCCCAGAAAAAGCCGTCCGTTTGGATGATAAGCCAGCCCAAGAGTCTGTCAAGCAAGGGGGCCTTGTGTTCACCTCAGGGGCAGTGCTAAAGCACACTAGTTCCGGATTTAACGCGTTCTTTGAAAGAAACATCCGAGAGCTCAAGTCGCCCTTACCATTGACGATATTCAACAAAGAGTGGCAGGAGGCCTCACTCACCTGTCACGTCCACAAGCGGTCCAAAAACAGCAAAGATCATCGGTATGCTGGCCATTCCTATCCGAGCGAATGGTCCCAAAACTATGCCTCCTGGACGATGAACCACCGAAATTTCCATACGACGCTAAGGGACGTCTATGGCTTGACTGATTTTGCGGATAAGATGTTAAAACACAAAGAAAACGTGGATCATTTACACAGCGTTCACGGTTTCCTACCCGCTTTCCGATACGATCTTCTGATGCGAGCAGATACCTTCTCCCGTCGAGTGACCGTCAACGGCTTAACCACTGTCCCGGACATCTCGAAAGTGAGGAAAGATCTTTGGGAGACCTGTTACGCGCAAAGCCAAAGACTCGACGAGTTAAATTTCAACGAAAACCCGTATTGCGAGGGAGGCGTTCGGCACTCTTGGGACCCCTTGACTGGTGCTCGCAAAGGCGCCAGGGAAAACTTCCGCTCGATGGTTCCTGATTTGTATCCAGAAATCAACCAAAGCCCTCGGCCATACAAACGCGCGCCAGACGACAAGCCCGTCGACGATTACCCCGGCAGGTCGGCCAGAGGTGGATTCGGAATCGACCGTGGTAGAGATAAGAGGAGCGAGCCGTTGTGGGATCCCGCCGTGAGGGGACCCGCTTGGACTGAACAATACTTGGTCCCCCGTGGCGACAGATAATGTCACTTATATAATAATACGGGCAGAATAATCTGCCTTTCGAACGGTCTCAAGAAAAACCAGCCAACGATTGGTAATATTCTCGCCAAGAATACTCGATGTATATTAGTTTGGCCGCCGTTATGTTTTCTCAGAGTGATTGAATCAAAACAAGAGTATTAATAATAATCGAAAACTTAGACAGGCCTTTACTCTAATCTTACAAATCAGTGACCGCCCTTGATAATAATATTTTAAATGTATGTCAGTGATTTATCACAACACTTTATCCTGGTCTGATTGATCTATTAAAGCCATTCATACACCAGTTGTTGAAGAAGAAAAAACAAAACGGACAGGTCCCTAATTAGAGTATCAGTGCAAATCAACGGCCCTCACAGTTCGGCCCATGAGCATGTGATGATGGAATCTATGCGCCAATAAAAATGCCTTGTTGCATCCCAGCCTTGTGAACAACATACAATAATGTAAACGTGCTCTTGTGTACTTTTGGATCTTGAGCAGAGTACTGGTGCCCAGCTTGCTTATTTCCCTAGTGATGGATGCAAATATGTGTCTGGTTCCTCCTACAAAAACTGGATGCACATACAGTCTGGAATGTCTAGTTGTGTAACATCACGTCTTGGTTGAACTAAGTCATGGAGGGACAAAGTCATGTAGGAACAAACTTAAAGGCAAGTGCTGTATGGACAACTCTGGCAATTTAAGCACCTGGATGTACGTATACAATCTTGTTTCTTTTGTACAGGTGACATGAACCATGATTTTACACATCTTGTGCTGTTTCCCTAGAAATTGGGTTGTCTATTTATACCAATTTTTTTTGAAGCACATAATTGCTTATGAATCATAAACCCATTTTTATTTAATGTGTCACTTTTTCCTTGTTGTTTGCTCCAAAATTGGTTTGTTTGTTTGTTTGGAAAGAAAAAAAAATTGTAATTGTTGGGAACTCTCCTGTGATAGAATCTTATCCAAAAAGCAAAGTAGATGTAAAGCAAGATTGAACAACATCAGTATAAATTTTGCTGGCAATTCCTTTGTCAATATTTGGTGAGTTCCAAGTTCCACTGGCTTTGTGAGCCACTATTGATACACCATCCCACTAAAACATTCATGGGTTTGTGTTAGGTTTATGTAAGTGATGTACTTAAGTGATTGATGCATCTGTGATATCAACATGAATGAGAAAAAAAAAGGTCAACTGAGATCATCAGATCACAAGTTTTCCAGCAAAGAAAAAATGAAGAAAATCATACGAAAACAAGAAAAAACAAGGGAAGAAAGTTCCAAAAACTAAAGAAATTGAAAATAAAATAAAATGTAAAATGACAAAAAAGTATTTTTTTTTAAAAAAAGAAGAAAAAATACATAAGAACATGACAAGATCGATGATGATGATGATTGATATCATAAGAATCCTATGAAATAGAACAACAACTATCGACCAAAAGTTTCAAGAACTGCATGCGAAGATCATCGATGTTTTTTCGAGCAGATTGCGGAGACAGGGAGTCGGCAGAAGTGGGAAGCCGCAAGAGATTTTTAACAAGTAATTGATACTTCAGATGATGATGATTACAAAGCTGTCCGGGAGAGGATTGAAGGAGAGGATTCGGAGGAGGATGATCGGTTCGGATTCGGTTAGTCAGGAAGGCCCTCAAGACCTTCAACGTCTTGGGTAACGGGACGTGCATCATTCTCAGCCAATCGGCTAGCCGTTCCTCGTCAATCCTTGCTGATCGATCTTCCAGCTCTCCATCGACACGAGCGCCCTTGGGATCCGGCGTGGAAGAGGAGGACGAGTCAACTTTGTTCGAAGGGGACTGAATCAGTTCGCCATCAGATTTAAAATACTTGAGGATCAGTTGACTGCCTTGGAGACTATCGGCCCACTCCATCAGTTCTTGTTGATGGTAATGTTGGATCTGGATTAACAAGTTTCTATCCAAGAGAGTTGAACTTGAAAACGAAGAGGACGAAGGAAACTTCGATCCGATCTCATTGAGACATTGATCATCGCCGTAAAACCTCACCAAGTTCGAGATCTGCCACTGTTGGTCTGGTATGTATTGGGTAGCTAATCGGGTCTGGTAATCGACCGCAGTTTTCGAGCAAGCAAAGAGAGCCAGATAGGTCGGGAAGACTTCGAGCTTATCCTCTAATAGACATTGTAGTAAAGCGGTTGAAGCGTAAGCCGATAGATCAACCCCCGATCGATTCCCATTTTCTTTTCTTCTGGGTGGAGTCAATGAGCCAAGATAATCGACCAAACCAATAGATTGTTCGTCCAAATCGAACCCTTCAATCAGCTCGTACAGGTTTTCAGGACTCTCGTGGCCCATCACGGGCTGTTCAGCCATTGACCTTGACTTCATGGCCTTTCGGATCTCTCGTGATCTGAGCCCAAAATGATCGATCTCGCACGTCATCATCTCTTCTGCGCCTCGTCCTCGACTCGCGATACTCTTAGCTCCCTTTGGATCTTGTGAGTAACTCAGATGTCCGACTTTTCGTTTGACCCACAAGCTCAACGATTTCGAGAAATAATTCCGGTGATACGAGTTGGTAGCAAGGTCTAAAACAAACGGCCAATATCTTGGGGATTCCACCTTCACGCTTTGAATCACTTCCATCTCAGGGACTAAGGTTGGGGCGGTCAGGAGTTTTGATTTGAGTTTTTCTCGGACCGGAATTGGCGGTTCAACATCCATTTGTGGTTCTCTGTCAACCGAGCTTGAGGGAGTATGAGATCCAGACGGTTGCTCTTGCATCTTCAGCTTAACGGGCAAAAAGATCAGTTCCCCTTTTCGATCAACGTCACGAGCAACCAAACATCTTGGCTCTGCCGCCAAAACCCACAGGTGTCGCAATGCTTGTAGATGGTGAACATGATCGTCAGTCCTACTAGGGAAAATGGGATACAATGCGCACAACAAACAGGCCACTGCTCGGTCTGAAGTGTTGAAGGTGTAACGGCCCCCGCCTAGAAACAGTAACCCAAGCGCAAGATGAGTGACGACATGAGTGCCATAACCAGTTGTCTCTGTTGTATTTCCATGCGCTAATCGTAATCGCTTAAGTATTTCCAACTCTCCCGTGCCGGCCATAACAATAGCAAGTCCTAACGTGACAACATTGTGGCAAGATCGGAGACAAGTTCTGCGAACTTTCGCTTGCACATGCAAAGCTAATTCATTTCAGAGGGAGTGTTTAGTCTTATAAGCAACCGTGAATCAAAATGTAAAAAAAAGTTATCGAAATCTAACTCACCAGGTTTCGAGATAGCCTTGAACAGTCGATCATAAAGTGTCAACAATGTTGAGTGAACAGCACAATCAGCGGATCCCGCATACTTCAGAGCCATTGCTAATGCTGCTCCACAGATGATGGACCAGTAAGACATCTCCCAATCGGCCCGGAGTTTTTTCTTCTGTTTCTCAGCCCGTTCGATGGCTTCGAGGATGACTGGCGGGACAAAGGATTCCATCCAATCCATGTCCACCTTGATAGACTGCCACATTATCAGACCTCTAGCTAGCGTTCTGATCATCAATAGGTCCGGTCTGATGTATTCCAACCGGGCTGGTGTCTGTGGAATCTCGCACAACATGGCGGCCTCAGACCTTCCAGTTTTTAGATACAACAAGGCCAATGCAAGGGTTGCCGCTGGGCTCGTCACCGAAACGTCGATCGTCGTCGTAGGTTGGTTCAAGCCCGGCAAAGGATGAGCCCCATCTCCCTGAATTAAACTTTTGAAAGTTCGCATCAGGTCCTTGTGCGCTGGAGTATCAGATTCCGTTCCTTTTCCCAGCATCACTAGTCCGTAACCGATCCCCGCACAAAGCGTGTATGACTCTCGACAGCCATCAGGCGTATCCGTCAAAACTCGCCATGTCCTTCCCATTTCCCTCAACATACCATCGGATAATCTTCTATTAGCTGTACCTAAGTGCAATATGCCAAAGCTGACAAAGCCCGCCGATTGAGTCAACGGACTAACTTGTAATTGAATGGATTCGGTGGGATGCATGGCTGGCACATGCGCCGCAATGATACTGCTGACACGTGGGTCAGCGGTACCAATGAAGGCCGAGGATAAGCCTAAGAGGACGCCGATTGAGGTCATCTCGTGTTTTGTTTCAAGGTACCGAAAGATTTGTACACGATTGATTGAACGTAAGTGTTGATTCAAACCGAGTCCTAATAGATAACCCGCATGTCGGTCGTCTAGTTCTTCCGGACGAGCAAGTGAGATCTGAGAGCTATCAAACTCTTCTGGTCTAACTGATAGACTCAATCCCGCCGCTACGCCTGCATGGAAACGTGGCCATGCAAGTGGTTCAACTTTTGCGAGGTCTGGTTGAATCAATATGGCTGGCGATGAAATTCTGATGTCTAGCTTGATCATCGGAACATTAGCAGCAACGTTAGAATCAGTTTTGTACCAAAAACACGCTCCTCCAAAAGGTAAAGACATTGTCCTCCTGATGATGCCGACGAAAAAGCTAGAGTAATGCCGCGCGACGTCGGTGCTGTAATCATTGGGAATCAAATGATTAGGCGCGCACTGAAATTTGTCCAAATCATTCTGTTATTTGTATCACAGCAAAACGCTAACCTTGTCATTTCTGCAATTGATTCATGCATTTTCACTTTCACCTCTCTGGTGTAGTTCAGCATTTTAGCAGCATCGATTATCCTCATATCATCACTGAATCGCGCGGCCACGCTGTGATCGGGGGACGCTTCTTCCAAAGAGTGGAAGTCGAGTTCTGCTGGAGGAAAGACTGGGTCTTCAATTGGAACTGCGGCAGCACATAATTGAGAGATTGACGGTGGAGGCTGAGTAGTGATCTAAATGGTCCAAATTTCAGCCAAAAGTCAAACGCAAACATAATATGGGGGTAAATTCCAATAATCCTATGCTTACATGGAAAGATGAATTTGACCGTAGGGCAGGACGTCGAGCGTTCACTTTAAGATCTTTGGCGACTGTTTCATTCGCCTGTTCCGTCAGCATAGCAAGATCAGGTCGTCCCATAAGTTGGTAGCACCGAGCGGATAGCCCCTGTGGGGCGCGATATTGACAATATCTTAGCGCTTCCTTCAATGGCACTGCGATCCCAAACCACAAGTCATCGAGTTCATCGAGTCCCCATCCAAACCGATCAATCTCGATCAAGACACCTTTGGCGGCCTGTAGCAGGCTTTGATCGGGTTTGAATAGAATCCGGTATAATTTCGTAATTTGTTTGGTCAGTTGGCAACTTTCCGGGCCCCCGTAGAAGCCCACATTCGGTCTTTGATAGACTTGACCTGGATTCAAATCATCGGCACTTTTTTCAAACAATTCGTCAAACGGAGAGTTGATGGCAAGACGAATGCGGTCTAGGTGGTCGCACAGGTCTGGCATTTTGGGTTCTTCCAACTTGCCTGTATAAGAAGCAGAGAAACTGAATGTTGCATCGATGGTCCCATTGAGCGATCGCTTCAAGCTGTCTGACCAGTCAATCCAACCTAAACAGCTTGACAGCTTCAGCAATATCTTTCCCAACGTGACATGCTGCTCTAGACAAGACATCGATGCTTTCAGGTCAGCATACAGTTTAGCTAAGCCGATCATGACTTTGGTCTTGAGCTGAGGATTGAGTGGCAAGCCCCGACCGAAGACCGGCTGCGTTCGACGCTTTTTGGGAGAACCCGGAGGCTTTGTTTGCGAATGATCAGTTTGGTGAGGAGGGTTAGGCTGCTTTAGTCGTCTTATTGCCCTGAGGTGGTTCAACGCTGGGTCAGAACTCAGCCCACTAATTTGGTTGACGATGCTCCCCAATTCAGGCTCAGGATTCGATGAATCATCGCCATTTTTCTTGGCTTGTTGCACTTCTTCTCCTATTAAAGCTTCATACAAGACTGCATCTAAGCAATCGATGGTCGACTTGAAGGCGGAATTGTGCTTGATGTAGCGTTGAACAAGATAGCAAGCTTGAATATTCCCGATCTCTTCAGATAAAACTTGGAAAACTTTGCGGATGAGGGGATTTGAAGGCCATATTTTGAGATCTGCACGAATCACTTTGGGCGTGGCACCTGATTGATGTTTGACTGTTGCTAGCGGTGATATGAACTCCACATGATAGCTAACCGATGACTTGACACTACGTTCAGCTGACCAAACCGTGTCAGGGTGAGAGAATTGATGTAAGAAAGCTGAATCGGCAGAAACGATGTCCACGAGTCCAGTTGAATTCGAAAATTTGAAAAGGTCGTAAACATTGGGTCTACTACACAAGACAGCCCCGATAGCTGTCCCTTCCCATGGCTTTCCGACCGACCTGATGAAAATTGAATTTCGAGTCCTGGTCATCCGAAACACGTATACTGTTGCTCTGGTGGGAATGCAAATTGCCAGATAGGCAGTTGGTCCCCGAGAGTCATAGACAGTAGCATGAATTGACGGAAGTTCTTCTGCACTGGGCTTATTAACAACATAGACGGGATTGTGAATGACAAATCATCAGAAATCTTACACAACATGACCTTGATCGCAAAGAAGTTCTAATTAAATAGAAGAAACCAAGGAGAATAAAAAACTCACGTTAGCCGACCTGGGATTTCTACGGTCTCTAAAGTCTGGATTACGAATTCGGGCTCCAAAGCTTGATCAGCCAAATGCCCATCAATTTTTCGATCACTAGGTTCCGAATCCATGATCCCATCAAACCATTCGTCAAACCCACCACCAGCCTCACGGTCCAAGCCGATGAGATGTCCAACTTTTTCTGAGTTGACAGTCCCGATCCGATTGCCGGATGCAGCTCCAGACATCATTTCTAATTGCTGCTCGGCCAAACTCTTCCTGTTGGATGACTTGGACATTGGATTACCTCCGGGAATAGCTGACGATGGCCCGACGGACGACCCAAAGGCGAAGCTCGCATTGCTCGCGTTACTAACAACGCTCACTCTTCTTCCTCCAACCACGTTAGAATTCGCTGCTGGCCCGGCGTTCATACCACGTTTTTTGATCGAGATCGAGGCAGCGGTGCTCCCCTGAGAATTATTCAAGCTTCGCCGTAACGAAGGATGGCCCAAGCCTCCAAGGCGAGGTAGGGTACGGGTAGTTCTAGAGAGGGTGGGACTAAGTTTGTGTGCATCCATGGAAGGCTTTGGGAGCTGTCGGTTGCTCTTCAGATGTTCAACAGGCGAAAGATGACTGCGCGATGCAGTGTTCTTTGCTTGGACTTCTGCGTAGTTGAGGCTCATCGGCAAGTTGGGATTGGGAGGGTGGAGTGGGGGAGCGCAGAGGGTTTAGAAAAATTTCCTCTTCGATGGGATCTTCTTCCGGAATAGCAACAGGTGATGGACATTCAAATGGTGATATCAATCCAGAGGGAGTTGAAGCGTTTGATGGTAAACGACCGTAGAGAAGGATCGTAAATCCTTCGGTAGAAGCTGTGATGCAAATTGGATGGTGTGGATCCATCTTAGGGTCGGCGACATAGACAACTGTCCCGGAAGATAAGGCGCAACCGGGCCGGCGAGAGGGAGTTACCAATGGCGCTAGGGGTACGAATGCCTTGCAAAATTTAGGGGAGGTCGCGTGTTTTCCATTTGCGCTACTATTCTGTTCGTCCGATGTTTTTGTTGATGGAGTGGATTCTGTGCTGATGTCTGGTAAAATGAGTCTTTCTGTTGTTAAGACAGGTTGAAGATAGTTAGTACATGGATCAGAGAGTGACCATAGCATCGAGGACTCGATTTGTTTGCGCTCTGCCCAATAGCGAGCTAGTTCGGCTGATAGATCGCGTTCATCAGCTCCATCATCTCCATCTTCCAACTGGTCATGATCGGGAGCTTGACGATCCTCTAAATCAGCCCCAGTAAAGCTTGACCATAGATGCGTCTCATTCTCAGTAATCATACTATCAAAACCCAAGAGCTCTGAAGTTGAGGCGGCCTGGGCAGATGATGGCAATCGACTGTCACCCAAAATACTTCTTCTTATTGACATGCTTCTTAACTTGAGCTGATTCGAAGGACCAGGTGAGACTTGGCTTGTCCGGATAAATGGCCGAGGACGAACCGAAGTTGGTTTCTTCATCATCATCACACCCCGTTCGATCGGCCATACTTTTTGAATAGGAAATGGGACTGCTAGAGTGTATTCTTCACCGGTGTCAAAATAGATTTTGAAGACTTCAGACAATAAGACACATAGCGCCCGAACAGGAGTGGTGGTGGATGATCTCCACCGTTTCTGTTGATCAGAGCGCTGGGTCAATCGATTATCAGACCAAGGTTCAGTGGGGGTGGTTTGAAGGTATGAGGTCCGAGATGGGTTTTTAGATTTTTCGAACGGAGTTGACTCGAGTTGATCTTCAAAGGAGAGATGCGCTTGTAGATGGTCAGCTGGGGTGCCAGTAGTTGAGGGGTCAGTCGAGCTGGGAGGATCGAAGTAGGCAAAGAGGGCCTGTATGACATGTTGTCTGGATGTGGTAGGGGTCGAATCTTGACTGAATGATGAGTTGGTAGTTGAATAGTCAAATTTTCTGAAGATCAAGCTTCCTTTAGACCAGATCAAGGTTGATGCTTTCCAGCAGAGTTCTTCATCTTCAAAGACGGGATTCGAGTTGATGGAATCTGTATGGGAGCGATTAGCCACAGGAGCGCGTACGATGAATCGATTGATACCGGTTGACCAATCAGAGGTTTGCTGATGAGTTTCGTCGAACAGGTTCGGCTGAGTCAGATTTTTCTCTAGGCTGCGTAGTGAATCGAGGCAAGAGAATGGATTTGGAGGTGGTCTGGGAGGAGGCAGGTGAGGTAGGATGGGTGAGGATGATTGGGTTGGGCTTGAGGATGGGTGGTTTTGGTAGTTTTGAGAGAAGTACTGTAGTCCAGGTGATAAGCCGACCAAATGAGAGGCAGCCATCGGATAACTTTTGGAATCGAAGGCCATGTTATTGGTGGTGAACGGTGTAGGAGACGCGTCGAATGATGAAGGGACCGATTGGCAATTTTCTGAGTATGGTTAAAATGAATAGACCACTGAGTTAGATTACTCACCTGGAATGGTTCTCAGTCGTCGTACATACAACCTCGAATTGGTTCGTCCTGAGTATATTTTTGGTGGTAAACACTACATTAGGAGGAGGGTGATCGAGTGGAGCTTGACGGCATACATACATTACGACGGTATGACGTCACACCTGCTCTTTTTTTTTTGGACCGAAACCCTCTTTCAAGAGCAAGTTGAACACCCAGTCCAAACAAAACTATCACAAAATCATGGTGAATTCTTTTCATTGCTGTGTATGCTCGAAAGGATCGATACGGATGATGGACTCATCATATAGCAGCTCACTTCAGGACTCCTTGGCGAAAAGCCATGAGGTCTTGCAGTGACTTGATTTAAGACGAAGCCACCCATAGGTTTATCCTATGTTAACCTTAAGAAAAGCTCAGGCCAGAGAACATGGATTCTCGAAATCAAGTCGCAGCCTACACACTCTTCCCATTCAATTTTGTCTTCCCCATTCAAAGCAGACCAAATGTAAAACCTCAGTTTAAAATTAGCCACACCAAGAAAGGTTTAGATATTGGTGGAGCCACTGGATGCTAGGGAGAATTGTAAGGCTTCAACTCGATATAGCTTTCAACTTGATCCTTATAAGAAAGCAACCAAGTTTGTCCATTTACAAAATACTTTCTAATTAGCGGCAGCCAGACTTACTGAATTCCAAGCAGTGATGAAACCCTCCCTTATTATATTGCACAGTTCAGCTACTACTGATATCACGAACCTCAAGCCAAATTGGCGGAGATTAGATTATGGTCCAAACTGGACAGACACTTTCACAACCTTTCATTTGAGAACATTTGACCTTGCCACAAAAATGTAATCAGCAATCACAGACAGCCATACAAGACACTTCCCTTCAGCTCCTCCATTGTTTTTGGGTGTGCCAATCCCAGAGTCCAAAAACGGCTTAGAATCAATCTCGGATCCAATTGTTCAGATCTCGAAAGACTAGCTGATTTCGTGGTGTGCAAAAAAATGTTTCTTTTGATGCAGTTTATTTGAAGCCACATGCAGCAGAACTAATTAGATCATTCCTCTCTTTCCATATCTATGTTGTTTTTTTTAAGATTTGTTGCTTGCCAAGTTTCTCCAAAGTAGAATTTTTCAAGAGGAAACTGTGCTTGAAGGCATATAATTGAAAAACAAAATGACTGGAAACAGGTGATTCAGCGTAGGTTTGTCGCAAAGAGAAGTTTCTAATTCAAGATCCGGCATCTGACATTAAGGTATTCATCACCACGGATATCAAAAAAGTCGAATTCACATCAAGGAAATTATTATGAGTTGAGGCGTTGAGATGGAAAAATAGAAATCTCCAAAATGATCATCTAGTCGACATTAAGTTTCCCAGCGTGTAGAATCTAATCCAATGTTTGCCACGCCGACGATCCGCGCATAAGGAGATGGAGCTAGGATCAAAGCTTTGAGGAATGAGATGATTTTCGCTGGGTAGTGATGAGGATAAGCTATGATTGTGTATAACTTGATTAACTTGAGATTGGTTGGAATATTTATAAGTGCTGTCAGGTCGACGTTAGGGACACAGACGTAGGTAATGAAATTGATTTCCATCCGGGGTTCGAGAATCAAGAACTCTGGAAATGCACGAATGCCGTAATGGAGTGAGGTTTGATGTGCTTTCCACCATAGCTGTTGCGCTTTGAAGAGTTTCCGAGAGGATGTCTGTTGCCAATAGAGGGAGTAATTTATCCAATGTTGGACCGCGGGCGAAATAGAAGAGACGGTCCGGGTTGACGAGCGCAGGGCTTCTTCCGCGTCGATGAGATCCAGGATCAGTAAGCCGTTCACGCCGCGCCACCACTGCGAGCCACCTTGTTCAGCGAGCCGACCAGAGCAGACCAAGAATTCAATAAACTCTACGATTCCTGAAGTCATGTTGCCATAGGTCTTCGCAAACGACCTAGCCTTGTTGAGGCGATCCGCTATAGTCATTTCCAAGGCATCCTTCTTACGAGAATTAACCTCCGGACTTTGTGTTGAAGTTGTCATCCTGGGGTTTGAACTTGGGCGGAAATTGTTATACGGTTATTGTTCTGGAAATTGGTCTTTAACTGCGGGTGGGAGAGGACAAATCGAGTCCGCAAACTGCGCCTGAGACTTTTTTGGTAGATAAGCGAGATTGAGACTGGGTGAGGTCGGGGCCTTCAGGGGTCTTTGCACTACAAGAAGATTAAACTCCATCAACACCAGTCGGCAACAGAGGGCGACAGGGGCTCGATGTGCATAGTGGCCCAGTGGCGGATGGGAACTATTTGTCATATCCGAAGGCTGCATATCCGCGGTATGCCTAAAGTATGTAGGCCGGGTTTTCCGTATCGCCGCCGGACAAGTTGGACGTTCTCCACGGACGATTGAACCGGGGAGAAAAACATGGACGTCGAGAACAAGTACCATACATGTAACCACAATAAACATAGAGGGCAGAGAGCATAAGGCAGAATAAAGTAAAAATATTAAAAACCGGAACAAAAAAATAATACAAAAGCCAATGAAAATACAGTGGGTAGACAAAAATTTGTGTTGTGCAATTCTTCTGTTTGCAAGACCCTGCAAGGAGGCATTGGTGGTTTTCAGTTTTTGGCGCAAAGTTTGGTGAGCAGATAAAAGGGATTGTGCACGCACATTATAACTACATAACAAACATTCATAGTGGTACACTTTTGGAGTTTTTTCAATGCTAACATGTTTTCTTCTAAAATAACAGTTAAAACTTGATGGGATTGAAAAGGAACCGAAAATAAAAGATGTGCAGTCGGAGTATTGTTCCATTTTGATTTAATTTTAATCTTTGGGGTTCGAATTTTTGAATTGTCCGGTTTGAAGTTCGATTGTCTAAATTGTCCTTTTTTTGAAAACTAAAATGAGAAATTACCACCGGACTGGAGCCACTTCGCTCCAGTTGTCAGGGGTCCAGGTCCAATCATTGTGACTTTCGCCATTCGCGAATAAGACCCGGTGCTGCCGATGAAATGACGGTTTTCTTGACTGGTACTCGGTCTTTGAAACCCAATTCGTGAGCTCGACGACGTGCAGTATGAGTCGAGATGGGGGTGGCAAGCTGGTCTTTAGCCTCGGCAATCTTCATCTGAGGGTTTTCTTCAAGGACTCTCCTTAGCTGGCGCAGGTCACGGTCGCTGGTCTTTCGTGGTCTTCCGCTCCTGGGGGCCGTCACGACAGTCCCTCGAGCCGCCGCCCGAGCGATGATAGCAGAAACAGTGGTCCGGCCGACATCGAGTTTAGATGCGATATCGGTTGGCGTCATCCCAGCGTCTGCCATGCCAACGATCTTAGCTTTTTGCTCGGTCGATTGGTGCGGTTTGCGTTTTCGCGCCATCTAAAGGAACCACGAAAAAATCATACAAATCAGATAAATAAAACAAAAAAAAATCAGCTTTAGCATAGCGTTCATCAGACAGACTGAAAACTGACTGTGGTCAACGTGGGTATGTGTCGTTGTTTCAAAGTATTTAAGATGTGGTGTGGTTTTGGAAGAACGCTACATCCTACAGGTGATGTGCGCTGGGATGTCCTTTGGGCTCGCGCCAAAAAGTTCATGCCTTCACTGTGCGTCATCAACTGTGACGTCATAAGTCTTGATTCGGAGACTTGAAGATGTATGCGCCTGATCATCGTCACTGATATACAGTTGGCTTTGTCCAAAATTCCCGAGAAAGATTTTTGGCACAGCGGTCTGACTTGTTGACCGTCGTCTCTTTCCTTGCACTGAATACACTTCTAACCCTTAACCAATCAAAACCATTGTTTTTGAAAGTTGGACTGATAGTGATGCCTCGCCCACCCAAGAAAAAAGCTAAAAAGAATGCTGAAAACAAAGACGATTTTAGATCCAAGAGCGGCAAAGCCTCAGACCTGGAAGCAGAATCATCCGATGAAATGAAGAACCTGGCCAGCATTGTCAAATGTTCGTGGTGTTTCCTTCATGGTCTTTAGATATGTGTACTAGCATCTGATCTCCAGACATCTTGAAAATTGGTACATCATAGTAAAACGGAGCTCAAAAACTGGAAATCATTCGTTCGAGATTTTCGAAAGAAAATGCTCTCAACTAATCGAAAACACGACAAAGGAGATCGAGCTCAAAATAAAGACTCATGAAGAAAACTTGTGAGCCCTACTTTCCATATTTTTTCGCAGAACATTTTTCCATGGATGTTGACATCTGATTCATTTAGAGCTCGAATATATGAATCAGTTGAAGAGATAAATGAAGAAGTCGAACCCGGGGAAAATGAGGCTGTTTTTGAAAGAAAATTGAATAAAAACTTTGACGCTGAGGTGAGTGACTAAGACTGCTGATACCCTTACATGCACAACGCTGGAGCATCCCTACGCTGTGGGACTACCCCGAGGGACTAAAGTGTGATTTTATGAAGTGGAATTGAAGATAATTGGTTGATGTTAATTTGACGAAAATCATATACAGATCAACTCTTTATCACGAGCTCTCACCGACATGAACACTCAGAAAAGCTGCGATCGTGACGAATTGCAGGTAGATTCGGAGCTTCTGGAAGAGCGTAAATTGTTTCTTCTTTTTCCCTAGCTCGCTTGCGGAAAATATTCCTTCGATGACTGTCTACTAACGCTGCCGGCAAACAAATTATCTCTAGTCAATCTGCGACCAGAACGATTGGCTGAATTTTCACAGTTAATGACTGCTGAATGCAAAAGAGGGTTTCGGATGTACTGTGAAAACAATCTAGTAAGCAGGTCTCATGGGACTTTTCTGGTCGCATCTATTTTCGACATCAATTGCTGATCATTGAGATACATTTCTTCACGACAGCTGGTTTCTGATGCTCGAAAATTCAAAGAAAGATATAAAGCTCTGATGAAAGAAGCGTTATGGGCAAAATAATTTCGCTGCAATTGGAGATCTAATTGAGGCGCATTGGACGCTCCGTAAACCATGCAACAGGAATTCACAATTTAGTTTAGCATTCTATAAACGTAAAACAAAACGATTGTCCAGATTTTTGAACTCAAGAGGAAGCAAAATATGTGATAGCAGTCAGTAGAAGAAGCAGGAGGTTTTTGGTAGATTGTGAATACGTATGACATGTAGTATTAGAGGAGACTCGTTCATTCTTTATCGTCAGAAGAAGCAAAGCGTCCATTTCATCTTACCAAATTTCGGTGAGGCTCCCGTGTGTCCGGGCATGCTTTTAGAGTATCAAGTTGTTAATTCCAAGAAAACAAAATCTAAATACAACATACTAATTTCATAATCGTCTTTATAAACCAAGCAGAGAAAAGTATAATATTGTTTTTTAACACGATTGGTATTGTGTAACAAGTTTACTTGGGCATCCTCTGGCGCAGCAAAGGGACTCACAAGAATGGCATATTCGCCAGTTAAATCAACTGTCTTGTGCGGGTTGGTCTGTCCTATTCATCCTCCTCTCCATCGGCATCCCTCTTTCCGCTTCGCAGAAATCCTTGGCTCGGGCGGCATTCTGGCCTCCGTTGTGCATTGTGACCTAGCCGGAGCAAAACCACCATCTTTTCCAGTCTTTGTCGACTTCCCGGCCGTCTGCTTCTGACTACTTAGCCACTTTCCGTTCGGGCCGAGTCTGAGTTGTTGTCGAATCCTCCTGCGGCTTGGATGATAAATCGAGCGAGGTCGGTCTCGAGGCGAGCTTCGCGTCAGTTCTTCCTCGCCTGACTCCTCCTCTTACGATTCTTCAGGCCTTTTCGATGACTCCTCGCATTCTGATCCCCTCGTTTTGCAAGCCCACATCTCAGGAAAATCTGAACAAAAGCAAGACAATCTCAAAAATTATTTAGGCAGTTCTCAATGTATCGTTATCGGTGACTAATTCGACGTTCAACTCACTGTTTCTTTCCTCCTTGTTTCGGCTTTTCAAACTTTCCTGCATTGCGAACCTGATGGTAAAATTACAATAAAAATGACAAAGCGGAGACACACCCAATATAGACGCCCTGAGGTTGTCGGTTAATCCCAAGAGTGAGGGAAGACCATCTGATGAGCTCGACGGATAAAATGTTCTGAAAAACTGACCATGATGATCGTTTATTGAGCGTAATAGGTTGTGTCCTGTTACCTTTTGCAGTAATAATTCCCAATCAACCTCGTTCCTTGAACGTCTCACATACATACATGTGAGGAAATAAGCCAAGATGCTGTAGTCCAACCGATAAGTGTAATGCTAAGGGCGAAATTACACAAAAAAAGGTGACAAGTCGGAGGTTTTTGGTGGATGCCGCCTTTAAATTTCACACCGATAGGATTGATTATGTAATACATACTGCTGCGTAAGCGTAGTGCACAAACGAGAAAATGTAGCGCACGCGTCACCTGCAATTGTCAAATGGTCATCTGATGATCTGCGTCCTGATTCTGCGAGCTCCAATCCTCTTCTTCCCAGCTTGATACTAATTGCCATACCAAGACCTTTCTCTTCGATGCCACTGGCTGATATCCAGACAGGCTTTTCGCCCGTAAAGAGTGCCCAGATGGACCTACCTTTTTACGATCACCAGGAGACTCACTGGACTTGAAGATTTCCAGTCGCAAGTCTTCATGGCCAGTCTATTGGAATCGATCTATCTCCCCTGTCATGAAGACTTGCTCATTCTTCACTGCCACTGAAAGCCAAGACCTCACTCGAATTTCATGAATTCGTTTAGATTGATTGGGCTCGGTCAAACGCTCATATGTCAGCACGTTTTTTTAAATAATATCAATTGTGAATTTCAAGCAAATAGAGTCTCAAGACAACGAATGAATTTTAAAATATAAAATAATTGGCTATGAAAGGAAAGAATTGAAAGTTCAAATGATCTTTGGTTGAATCAAGTAATATCGAAAAATCAGTTTACTGAGCTTCCTCTCGCGCATTAAAGAAGTAAAGGAACTCACAAGGATGATGATTGTTGTCATTTAAGCCAACCGACTCCTGCTTGTTGGGCGGGATTGATCATCCGGATCTTCATCGGCGCTCCTTTTTCGGTTTCCAAGAACTCCTTGGACGCCTTCCTCCGCTTGCTTTTTAAGAGCCCCTTGGGCGCCTTCCCTCGGCCTGGGCGGAGTCCCGAGTCTGATTCTGCGTGGCGCATCACCGTCTAGGCGGAGCAGAGCCACTCTTGGGTGAGGGGGAGGGGAGTCGGAGGAGTCAGATTGGGAGTCGGAGGAGTCGGATTGTGAGTCGGAAGAGTCAGAGGAGTCAAGTTGTGTGTCCTGACTGCTGGGAGGGGTCGGTGCTGGAAGGGTTCCATGTGGTTCAGGCAAGGCATGTTATCAGTGCTGCTTGTTTGCCGGTTGAGAATAAGCAAAAGCTGAAACCAACATACCCTGGGGGGCCACCGGAGCAGGTTCCACCGGACCAGCCTGATCAACCTGATAATCGCCATAGGCAGCAACGACGGGATATTGACCAATTCCTTCAGGTGGGGACATCGCATGAGTATAATCGAGTTCTGAGAAGCACTCAAGCTTAAAGCCAACTCACCTTGAATACCAATGGGATCTGAGTAATATTCAGGGAATTGTTGGATGTGAGTAGGTGGGGCAAAGTCCTCAACCAATGCTGGTAAGGAAATCAAATCAGTGCCGTGATCTGAAAATAGCCAACGCTCAAAGCAATATACCTTGACTGCCAGAGGCATCTGAACGAAATTCAGGGAGCTGGCTCGGAGTTGCAAAGCGTTGATAGAACGCTACCAAGGACATCAAATTAGTAATTTATCATAACCAATCACGAGCCAGTCATCAACTCACCTTGTTGTTCGTATGCATACAATGCATCTAATTCGGGGTCGTAGGCAAGCTGGTCTCCCTGGTATGCCTGGTTCTCCACTCCAATGGAGGCGAATGCTATGAAATCAAATCATCATAGTGAGAAATATGTGATCAGTGTTGTGCATATGTGAAGCAAAAAAAGATCGGAAGGAACGTACTGTCATCCAATTGTTGATGAATTGCTGAATCCATCCAACCTTTCATTTTGGATCCGGTGGGGAGAGGAGAAATAAAGAAAGGGTGATAGCGAAATTGTTAGGAAGGGATGATATATACGAAGGAAGAAGATTGAGAGCAAAGAGTGAAGCCAGCAAACTTGATCTTCCGACTTCTTCGAAGCCAAGAGCATCGACTAAAGATTCATCCTGGAAAGGGGCGGCCAGAGCTAAGGAGGCTTTGTTATTTATTTTTTAGAGAAGGCCGTTAGAATAGTGCTAGTTGCACCTCTTGAAATAATAGAAGCCTAAAAAAACACACCTTCAGCGGGCACTAGAGCGCTTCCTTCCTCTATTGGATCATTGCCGCTATTTTTTTCCATCTTGAAAGGCGAAGAGAATTTAAAGTAAAAGTGTATAAAGCTAGAGAAAGTTCGTCAAGCCAAGAGCCCGGTCAGAAAGAGGAATATCTCTTTGGGCGTTTAGCTTAGATGAGGGCCAGGGAAGTAAGGAAATGGTCTAATTACCTTTAGGTTCTGGAAGGGCGGTGGTGAGTGTGACGGGAATTGGGTGAGCGAGAAGCAAGTAATGAAGAGGGGGAGAAATACCTGATGGGCGAAACAAGGATGCTCTTTTATGTGAGGGAATGCTGCTCCCGCTGAGCCTTCGAAGCTACTGAAGGCCCGGCGGTTGTGTAGCCTTTGTGGCCGGAGGTGCAGAATGTGTGACGCATTCGGCTCAGCACTTGTTCAATTCAACGCGTGTTTAGGGGTTAATCCTTTGTAAACAGTGGCATTGTTCAGTAGGTGTGAAGCTCAGAAGGAAGATTCGCCATGATTAAGTCGTTCAGCTCAACATGTATTCAATGTAAAGAAGCTTCTCTGTCAAATCCTTGCCGTTGGCTCAACGGCGAAGCAATTGAGAAGAATTGTTAAAAGTGTCCGTAGCAGCAATGTATGTGCAACGTTTAACTGTTTTAAACCAGTTGTAAATCTCAGAAGAAGAACACTACATGATCGCGTTGCGAAGATGTTCAGTTTGTATTGATCACAAATGAGCGTATTTTGACATTGGCTCAACGGCCAACCCCAATTCAGCGGTACTGTTCCAAATATCACGTAGAATTAAAGCGCAAATGGGGTTCTAAAAGAAGTGCACCCAAGACAAAGGAATTGTTTTTTTCCGCTAGCCTGATCATCGAGTCTTGGGGCCTTGCTTGCAGTTCAATTCGTCCTCTTCTTCATCTCAGCAAGCATCACACGTGATCACAGGTCAACGCCCCCAGCGGGTCAAACTGTCGTGAATATCATGATTTGCTGGCAGTTTGGTGGTATTTGCAAGGGAAATGGACTTCAAAAGTCAAGGGGACACTCATTTACCTCAAATATAGGGCTTGATTGAATTTCAATTGTCTTATCTCTAGAAAGTGATTGAAATGTGTATTTATAGAGGACCCTTGATGTTAGAATTGAAATCAATGGGGAACATGAATACAACAACTGAAGGCGAATTATGGTTAATTACAGGAACACTGGAATGGGCTAGGTTGTTTCCAGGTTGTTTCCACTTGTTAATCTGCTTATAATGTATCAACGGTTTCCAGTCAAAGCTCTCCTAGAAGGCAGTGAGGACACTCGCGAGAATGCAACCGCTCTCATTTTTTTCGCTCTTCTTCATCAACATATTTTTCAACGCTTGGTCTTCGAAGAATTTCCTGTGTACCCAACGTCGGCCTGGCTGGTGTGCCGAGCCCGCGCAATACGGGGAGGGCTCCGCGGATGATTATGGTCAGAGTTCTTGGGTGACGGGCTGGGGGCGCGTGTGGATGACGAGGTCCGACCAGAGCGGGGTGGGTAGCCTGGTAGTACATCCGGGCTCGCTGTTCCAAATATGTCTTGCGCGGACGTTGTCGGCGGGAACTCTGAGTTCGAGCATTTCTTGCGTCTGGAGTGATCATTTTCATGGTGCAGGGGCGAATGTGTAATTAGTTTCGGGACTGGTGTGTAATGAAAGCTGTTGAGGAGACAATTATTTTGAACGTTAAGGCCGACTTGCTATCCTTAAGTATATTTGCTCTTCAGATGGGCACAGGAAATTAACGCCTTTAGGTCCGGGAAGTGGAGGGGTGGTAACAGGCGAGGTTGAAGTAGGCTTGCAGAGGAGGGGGAAAGGAGGCTCAGGCGGTGAGAGCTCGTTCTTTAATGCGAGGGAACGCCTCAATCTCTGAGCCAGTGAAGCCATCTGAGAAGCTGCTTTTCTTCAGCATTTCCAAGTGTCAGGATTAATGGTGCTCGACCGAGCATTCATTCAAGTGAACGCGGCCCAAGAGTGGATCGAATACAACAAATGCATTCCTCCAAAGACACTTCCATTGCATTAGCCAAAACAACGGAAGATGATGCTGTTGTTGAGCAATTGCGAAGATCAGAAGGGACGACACCTGATAACACATTTGGATGGTATTAAACATGCATTGAGCTCAAAGGAGTGTCTCGGGGAGTTTTTCCTCACAGGGTCAACAGAGTATCAAGAGAACGATGTCTCGTCAATACGTGATCTCAGGAAGGACACTACGAATTCAAATAGGCAGCCAACCAAGCGAAGTTACTTTCTCTGCGTCGTGATGTCAACCTTTATTTCTGGTTTAAGTTCAGTTTTCAACCAACCACCCTGCGCAAGTTAAGCAATCAATCTACTAGGAAAACCTCCTACTTTAACTGGAAGTGGCTCAGAATAATTGCTGAAATGTGACAGAAAAATGTAATGGCTGGCCAACTCTTGAAAGTGGGAGAGTTACACTTAAAATTTACTGTTCAAGCCTTAATCACATGATACCAGGGGAAAATAAAACAAAAACTAATTGAGTTGAGGCACACATGCTTTAGTGTCTCTCATCTTGAGGAAAGGTTAGTTTGGGCAGAGCATATGAGGATTTTGCCTCATCTGTTAATTCACCATGGAACAACCGCCTCCCTGGAGGAAAATTTCACCCCTGAGAGAAATACAAGCTTAACTGGGAGAGTGTTGTGTAGTCAGTTCCACTATCCTTTTTTTGTCATTATACTACCTCATGTTTTATGCACCTCTTCCTAATCATTTGATAATCACATAATCACTGTTTCTATCCTGAACTCAAGACAAATAATTTTCATTGTGAATCAAGTAACAACGGGAACTTTGTAACCACACAAGCAAACATGTGATTCCAAATGACCAATATTTTAAGGAGATCATCTTGTTCCCCAGAAGCATGCCTGTCAGGAATGTGGTATCAAGTTTATAAACATTTACCTCTGTAAAAATTAGTAGATTACCTTTGTATAAGAATTAACAGTTTTGAAACTGTTATATTAACAACTGATTCTCTAGAGCTCATAAAATACCTTGGCAAATGTGCTTGATAAACATTGTCTTTTCCATTCAATTTTTTTGACAAATTCCTGATCAAACCCTTTCAAAACCGTACAAAATGGTTTGAATTTAAATGGAAACATGGCTTGAAATCCATAAAACCAAACAGAACCTGATAAGCCTGATCAAATATCATTTTTATATTTTTGATATCCTAATCAAGCAGCTCTTGTGCATGAACCCTAATTATTTCCCTGACTGCCATAACAATGTGTTTGTCTTGGTTGTATGTTTTGAAGTACAAATCTTGGTAACTCCTTTGATGACTTGTCATCTAGAGTCTAGAGATGTCACCACTTGACAAGAAAAACTGAGTAGGGATTGTTGGGGTAACATTTGCTTCAATTGTAATTTTCCTGCAGACCACCCATCAAGGCTAAGCTATAGCTCATGAATGTAGCACTAACTGGCCAATCTAAAGAATCCTGGAAGCTGTTTTCAGGTTCAATACTCATCCATCAACCCAAGATTCCTGAGTAATTTTGAAGTTTGCTCAGGATATATTGGTCACAAGGAAGAAACATCAAGGAAAGGACGGATGCAGCAACACCCAACCATGAGTCATCACTCTGTGAGTTTGAAGAGCAGAGTTGGGAATTTTTCCTCAACAACATCCCCTTTGGACAAAAACCTGAACACAGTGGCATTCCAGTGGCCACTCAGCAAGATTATTGACTGCCAAGGTACATCCTTGGTTGGGTCAAAGTTTTACTTGCCCAGTAGTTTACATTCTCTTATCATGGTTGTAATCATCCAAAGAGGTACACTCTGGCCTTCCAGATTGGGTGATATGCAGAGGCACAATTTGTGTATGATTGCTTCTGGCCAGTAAGAGCTAGTAAGAAAGTGAAGACTTTCTGAGACTTTGAGATGAGTTCATGATACTTCAGGATTGAGCATGTTGGTTTCCTCGCACATGTGTTCTTTCCTTGACGCAGATTCCACAGGTCAAACTCTCACTCGTGTTTCAAATATAGAGCGCTTGGCAGTGGACTCATTTGCTATACTGTACTGATTGTTTTTCCTTCGACTTTGCTCTTATATTTCAAGACCTCGCTATCACTCCTTGGCTATATCGTTCAAGGTGCCGCAGCGAATCGTGATGGAATCTGGCTTGGCATTTTCCTAGACCCAAGATTAAGATCGGTTCCGAACCCCCGCAGCAGCAAGTGAAGGTAAGATAGGCTCTCAAGGTTCACTCTAACAAGCAGCCTTCTCGTGGGCCTGTGGCTATGTCTTGAGCAGGGATTCCGGATGAAGCACTTCGCCATACAACAATTACAGTGAATGCTGCTTGTTCCACTTCATCCATTTTTGAATTCCGTTTCGTCTGTTGGTGTGTTTCAACCCCTAGAAAGCTTCCAGTCAAACTGGTCACACCGTGCAAGTGGATCCCATCTGCCAAGAGGGTCGAGTTAAAGTAATTATCGGGCTGTCAAGCATATATTTAAACCAAGCACCTTCTTTCACAGAAAGGTACCCCCATCCGGCCAGCTTTTCTCCTTGAAGGGTCCGATTCTCAATTTCCCCTTTAACATTCTTTCTAGTTCCAGTGCATCTTGGTCGTTCTTAATCGCAGCGGAACCACCTCTTGAGATTACCAACAACTGAGTGCCGCATCGCCAACCATCAACAATACAATTTCACTCCCAAAAGTCACAATGAATCGAACGTTCTTGATTCTCTCCGTTGTCACTGCCTTCGCTGTAAACATATTGGAACACACCGAGGCAGCCGTCGTAGGACACCATCCAGATCCATGGAGGAAGTCTATACAGCGAAAGCATGGATCACCTTCCTTTCTCCTTTTTAGAAGGGCGACTGAAACCGAGGATGACGAGCCAGTTGGTCCAAGCCTTATGCAACAACTAAGATATCCATCGGAGCAGCAGGAAGAAGACAACGAACCTCATAGCTTTATGATGATCAGCACCTCAACTTACAGCACAGATGACATGTCGGGATCAGATCCATTCGGCGGGCCGGGCGATTCTCCAGGTGTTGTTAGTATTGGGATGACGATCATCCAGTTGGACGATTCACCAGCCATAGAAACCCGCAAGGTTGCGAGGCGCTTTGGATCAAGAGGTCCGCTATCCATCGAAAGATCATACACCTCTTACGACACGACCGCTTCCTCGGATCCAAGCGATGAATCACCTTACAGCCGGTCTGAACCTCTTGTTAGAAATACACGGGCCGGCAAGCTTCCTGAAGGCCTGGGTTCCGGCACATTCGAAAGCTTATGGAAGGCGATGAACGAAAGGAATAGCCAGGTCCCGTTGTCTATGCCCACAGGTGACTCACGCACTGAACAAGCCGAAAAACCCAAAGATTCGTACCAAAATTCACCACCCGTTGTGAAAGAGGATATTCCACATCCTTTCACCGCACCCGCCAAAGGTAAGCTCAATAGGTCTCCGTCGCACAAGCTTGAGATCTCAGTGCTAACTAAAAAACCCGCCCATGTAGAACAAATCGTAATGAAATCCAGCCCCACTTTTGACAATACATCTCATCACTCACAGCTCTAAGTAATATGTATCAACCCAGGTAGTTTTGAAGTCATGGATTGCTGCTTGAAATATTTAGATTAACCAAGCTCCTCCTAGAAATATTACAATACACTAGCCTAAGAAGTAGGCCCACCTAAATTTCCTTTCTTTCTTTGTAAATCCAACTTTCTTTTGTTGCAAACCTAACCATCATCTTTTGCTAGAAAAGTCCACACCTCTTCAGGCAAAAAAATTCATTCAATGAGAACAGTCCACAAGATTATGAAGAAGATTTCCTCATGTTTATGAATGTCTTCAAAAATGGATCAAACACAATAAAAAAATCATGTATATATGTTTCTATTCTGAGTAAAATTTGGTAGATACTTACTCACAACCCCTCTGGAAACAAGTGTACAGAATAATGTCATTCTTGAAACAATTGGAGACAAATGGCCCAGAGTATATAATAAAGATGTCACAGTTGATTCAGCAAAGAATATAGAAGAAAATGAGTGCCGATCAGGTTGAATGACACCTAAGTTTTAGAAAAAAAGAGTATCCTTTTGAGTAAGTTCCATTGACTCTTAGAAGATAAAACAGAACCTTTCTTGGTGGGAAATGTCAGACTTGAAGCCAGGAAAGCTGGCCAAATGCCTTCTAATTTTATCAGAATCCTCTGATACTATTTTCTCCAAAACATTATTAATAGTCTACATTGAGATTTGGATTTCTTGTAAAAATCCAAAATGTTATCTCACATTCACCTTTGCTGAAAATTGTATATTCCTTCTATGATTTGAGCATCATTCAAGATGTTGCTGTGTAGGATTTGCACAACTAATACTATTTGTACACCTTTGCTATCTGTGCCTCAGTTCACTTCTTATGGGTTCTTTCCTATTGTACAGTGCCTAGACAGTGAAAAGTGGCTGCTTATTTTGGATTCCAGAGCTCCAAACCAAAAATTTGAAATCATGAGACTTGGTCAGGTGGTGCATAATAGGTCCCAAAAAATGAATATGAAACAATAAAAGCAAAAAATAAAGTTTCAAAATTTGTGAAAAATAAGAAATAAAATTGATTTTTTTCAAAAGCTTTGATATTCATTTTGAGGGAGTGGGAGTGCTGAGAAAAAGGAAGATTGGCATATTAGAAGAATGATTATAAATGAAAATTTTGGAAAAATGGGTTTCCAGATGGCTTCAAGCAGCTGTTGAGTGGGGCATTCACCAGCCCACATTGCAGTAAAGCACTAGAATTTACTGTTTTGGCTCCAATATGGACAACCAACCTGGCTAAACCTTTTTTGGTTTTAATTTTTTTCATTTATAATCATTCTTTTCATGTTCCACTCTTTCTTTCTCTCAGCACTCCCACTCCCCCAAAATGAATATCAAAGCTTTTGAAAAAAATCAGTTTTATTTTTGATTTTTCACAAATTTTGAAACTTTACTTTTTGTTTTTATTTTTTCATATTCATTTTCTGGGACCTATTCCGCACCACCTGAACAAGTCTCATAACTTCAAGTCTGTGTTTGGGAGCTCTGGAATCCAATATAAGCAGCCACTTTTCACTGTCTACCCACTGTACAAGGGTTGAAAGGTGGCTGAGCTGCACTGTTGGTTATTTTGAAGGGATTTTAAGGAATTTACTGTGATGGTAAGTCACAGGCACATTTACCACCCCAAATTCTAAAGCATCTCACCACTGTTGGTGCTATACAGGGTGGCAAACAACATCTTGGGTCCAAGAAATGTGGGAAGTTTGTGGATCTACCACCCCAGGTACCTCTCTTAGATGTGTGAAACCAACCATCCAGCTTGTGAAACCTCAATATTCACACCCCCTCTCACATACCAATATTGTCTGCTCTCCCTTGTTCATCCAATCCTCAGTGCAGTGGCACACCTGCCCAATCTCAGGTGGCAACTCTTGAACATGGGTTGTAAGTCCAACATTGACCACCCTGGATTTACCCACTGCAGAGGAGTTGCTTCTAAAAGTAATGATTTCTTATATTCTTGATCAATGTCAAATATAGCTCCCTTCCATGTATGACCAGCCATCCCTTACCCCATGCCAGCCTCAGGAAGTCATTCTCCATTGAACTTGTTGACACACCCATATCCCTTGACAGATTTTCATTGTACCAAACTCCTGACATCAGATTATAACAATCATTAGAATATTTCCTTTTCTTCCACCTAGAATTTTAGATTGTTTTACACCATTCTAACTTGAACACACCACTAAGCTATTTTCATCTATGTTTAAGATTGAAGTCTGTGGCCAAATCTCAGTGCCTATTGAAGAACAGTGTAATGACATACACTCAAGAGAAAGAATATATGAGAAACTCCCCTTTGGGCCTGCCACCACACCCCACTTTTGCATCAGGTTCCATTCCATCAAAGGCTGGGTTGCAGACTCAAAATTAGGTTGGTGGATGTCAGACTTAGAGATCCTCAAGAGCATCCAAAATACTGCTTAATAATAATTTACTTGTAATAATAACTTTCAATAATAAGAAAACCTAGGATAGTATTTTATAAATGAAATTTTCATAATATTTGAGAGGGGGTTGCTCACTGGAACCAGCCCCAAATTCCTACTGCTTCTGGGACTTTGTCATAACTCACGAGCCTTGAGGTTAGTAGGAATAAAAATATAAAACAATATAAAAAAGAATATAAAATAAAGATAAAAGGAAATATTAAACCATATATTTACAACTACAAGTGTAACTATAAATCAAAGTTGTAGAAATTACCACCTTTGTCAAGTGTGTGGTAATTTCCCTCAGTATTATTCTATTATAGATAGACACATGATGCAATTGGCTATAACAATGCATCATGATGTCATGGGGACATAGATAATACTGTGTTTAATCTAATGCAATATTCTCATTACATCATGAGAGAACTACTATTGTAGTACATTAAATAAACATTCTAGAATATTCTAAGAATTCCCCCAAGGGGGACTCTAGAATATAAAAGGAGGCCATTCCTGGCCTAAGATTGGTTCCTCAGCATATTCACCCACAGCATACTTAGTAAGTACAGTGAATATTCTCCTCCTACTGTTAGAGTAGTTATCCCAAACCCAATAAACCTTTTATTACTGGAATTATTAGTGTGTAACTTTGAAATTCCCCTTTCATCCCTCACTAAAATCATTTATAAAGCAGTTGCTGCAAGATTACCACCTCTGACAAGTAGCCAATCAGCTCAAGTGCTTGCCAGCTGCTTCTTGGCAATTATCATTGCTTTAAAATCCAAACTATAAAAATTTATCTATTGTTATAATCTCCTGTTATTTGGTTCATTAGAAACTAATAAGCTTAAAGGAGTGTGGACTTAACCTTTGTGGAATTTGGACCACATATAAAGATTGAAAAAGAGCAATCTTTTTCTTTGATAGTCCTTCAGCACAGTGATATCACCTGGTTTTTATATTATTTAAACCAGTGTAGCATACACAGAGCTGACAGTGGATTACATTTCCGGGCCATATAGAGTATTCGAATTCCATTGAAATCCAGGTTTGGATTTTTCACATCCACCCCATCCCAGGGGAGGAAAGGCAGTGCAGGTGGCTGAGGGTGTTGGAATTTCCCTACGCTTCCCGCTCTCCCCGCTCTCTCCGCTATCTCTGTTCTCTCTCTCTATCCACTTCTCTCTTCTGTCCTTCCCTTTTCTTCTTTTTCTTCTCGCTTCCTCTCACATCTTCTCCTCCGTTTCCCCTCCGTTTCCCTCATCCGACTAGTCACAAGCCTTCTTCCAAAACAGGTCAAAGCCTCACAACCGACAAGTTAACCTAACCTCTCAGCAACACTCAACCACAAGTAGAACCGTCTCTCAATGAATATAACAGCCCACTCAAGTCTTGGATCGATCAATTCCTCTCTCCTCAGCAGTCTTCAACATCCGATCACCTCAATTCTCACTCAAGCTACTCCCTCCGCCTCAACTGCTCGGCCTATCACCCTCAACTCTTCTCACTCTCCGATCATCTACAATTCCCTTCTTCATCTTCCTCCGACTCCGTTTCTTTTCCTCTTTTCCTCTCTCGCTCTATATCTTCTTTCCTTACTATCCCTTCTTGCTCACTCACATCGGCAATGTCTACTCATCCTCTCATCAACAACTCATCCTCCACTCCTCCTTATTCCACCGACTCTCTCTCTTGACATACTTCTTTGGCTATTGCCAATTTGGTGAGAAATAAATCATCCAACTTTCTCTCATACTCTCTTGAATAAAACATTGACCTTTTTCTTTCTTATGTGTTCTCTTTTCTCTATTGAAAACAGTGTGTACTACTTGTCATTGTTTGATCTTATATATTTCAGCCCTTCTGTTCTGTCTAAATCTAAAGACCAATCTACTCGTGGTAAATTTCTTTCTTAATTCTTTTCTTATTCTTTCTTATTATTTCTGATATCAAAAACTCTAACACTTGTTTTTTCTTATGATTGTTAAAAGTTCTGGTTCTAGTATCAATTATAATTCCTGTTTTTTATCAGAGGGTGTGCAGAGGAATGATTTTGATCAAAGTTGAAAATATGATGGTAATGAAGGAAAAAGGACAGAAGGGCTTGGATAAAGATAAGTCAAGTGTGCAACAGAGAAGGAGATGGAAATGAAAACTTGGAGGTAAAAGAGGTGTTAAAACAATCATTTGTTTTGGATGAATGTATGAATGAGGGAAATTATAGGGTTATGCTTTGAAAGGAATGATAATAGTTACAGAGAAGGAATTTAAAAATTGAATTGGTAGAGGGAAGGGTAAGAGATGATGACAGATAAGACAAGATTCAGGTCAGTAAATGATGAGAAGGACTGTATGAAGCTAATCATGTTGCCATTTTGTAAAAGGAAAATGATAGAGGAATAGCATGGCCAAACCTTCAGGAAAGAATATAAATTGTTTCACGGTACTCCTTTCAGGTACCTAGTACCGCTTGGGGGGTACCTCCGGTGTAAGACTCAAAAAGTGGTTGTAAGACCCTTTTTGCTGAATGGAGAAGGGGATGGTGGAGGTGCAAGCTCTGCCCTTCTATACTATCAGATAACAAGACCCACCAAGCTCAGCTTGGCAAGTTTTAATCAAGTGATAGGGTAAGTTCAGGAATGAGTTTGTGTGATGCTGAGAATGAGTTGAGTTGTTATTGGTGTTGGGTAAGGTTCTGTAAAGGTGGTGTATCTGTGATTGAGTGGTACTAAACTTGTGACTGATGAATAATACCCTGAGGAGACAACAACTGGGAGGAGAGCCTCCTTATATAGAAAATAGTGAGGGAATTTAGCTCCAGGGAAGCCAGTAATGAGTGATTTTGGCTGGCCTGGGCTATTACATGAGGTATTTTAGCTACATACATAAGTTGAATGAGTGAATGTGATTGGTCAGACATGTACAAGAGTTAAAGTGGTGAGCCAAACAGCTGAATGAGTGATTCTGATTGGTCAGGTTGTGTGGTGTTTACAA